AAAAAAAAAAAAAAATCTTTTTTTCTTTTCTGTAGAGACTAAAGAAGATTACGAAAGAATAATGTGGTTTTACTGTTGATACCATCTAACAATAGAATTCTGCAAGGTTATTAAAGGCTGCAAAAAAGAATTTAAATAAAACACAACTAACATCACTTCTTGCACAATTTTTTTTTTCAAAATTAGGTGGCAAAAAGGGATGTTAGTTGCGTTGTAAACGAATAACGTAACTGATAACCATCAACCCCGTAACAGTTCATTGGTATTTTTGCTGAATTATCTGTAAGACGTACGTTTGTTGAAACATATTTTTATTTACCATTGTCAGCATTGTTGAACTCATTTCCACGATCTGTCAAAACGTTTTGCAATAGACTCTCGACCAACAATAGATTTGAAACGAAAAAAATTTAGAATAAATAAAAAAAATATTGACGACAGTCAGATAGTGATTTATATAGGAGTTCCTACTAGTTCAACCAGAATCATTTGAGTACTACAGTCTTAAGACATCGCTGTCCAACAAAATCCTTGATAAAAATTAAGGAGAGAAAACAGTCAATTTTCCAGGAAAAATATAGCAGAAAAAGTTTAGTAAAAACAACAGATGGTATAAAGTAATTATCAACAATGAAAGGATCCTGAGCATCCAGGATTACCTATAAATGTATTTATTTTGTTATCTGAAATTTGTTCAGATGTGACAGTATTTCGTTCAAGGAAATAAAAGTGGAGAATATTATTTCACTAATAACTCTTATGCCTAAAAAACGTAACTAAGAAATACAACAGAGGTAATAAAAAAAAAACAAACAAAAGAACAAAAATAGAAGTGTTTAACAAAAAATACAATATTTAAACATTGGCAAAAACTTTCGTCTCACTATGGATGCCATTGTCAGAAGTTAATGGTAACTTCTGCGCAGTGTACACCTACGGAGAAGTAAAGGAAAAAACAATTTCGTCAGATGATTAACAACTAACTACAGGAAGGGGTGGAGAGAACGGCATACAGGGAGGGGTACACCTCAGCAAATTGACTATACCACTCCATTTGCCATCGGGCAAGAACAATCAATTTGTCTAGTTCTTGTTTCGATAATGTCAACCACAGTGTAACTACAATTCACTGTCTATAACGTCTTTTGGTATTTTGAGGTTTGCGTATTTGTTCTCACTATGTTAAATACTTTGTGCAAAAAAAATTACTAGAACTATCATTAAAAAAAAAACTTTTTTTTAGTATTGGCATCTGAGCTATTACTTTTCTTTGGTTCACTAAGAGTACTACTGCCGTCTTTTGTTGACGCTGTCTCAAAAACCTTTTCAATTGTTCACCAGCGATCTGTTTTGTTGCTTTAGAAGTAAAGTTGAGCAGAGAGTTGCAAATAACGAATGTTAGATTATCCACCAGCCAAACCTAGAAATTACCGTAGAGAAAAAAATATAGAACTAATATTTTTAAAACTAGAAATTTTTAAGTCAGTGCTGAAACAGCGAAAAGTAATATTACTGTATTTTAACGTTCTCTAGGATGATACACCGTTGATTGTTGATTACACGTGTATAGGGAGATATAATACACATTTTTCTGTATATAAGCAAACTGTGTTGCTGTTACTTTCATTATATCTGATTAAGTTTTGTACTCAAACAATCACAAGAAAATGTTTAGTTTTACACTGAAAAAA